TCTCTCTCTCTCTCTCTCTCTCTCTCTCTCTCAAGCGCGTGTGAGAAGTGAGAAGGCAACTGTAAGCACACCTTCGTCCTTGACAATATCCTTGATGAGCGCATTGAATTTCAGAATGCTTGCAGCTTCCTTGGACAAATCATCCGCTACCGGCTCCTTAGAAACGCCCCCACTTCGCAAGCAACCCACACAGAGTCTTTGAGGTCTGCTTATCTTCAATGCATGTGCCATGTGGATAGCTATTGCCTCATCTGTCCTGTGGCAGCTGCTGTGGCAGCTGCTCCTAAGTATACAGTGAGATATCTTGCGTACACCCGTCTCAATCTGTTTGAAAATGTTGCTCCAGCCAAGTTCCTCCCCGGAACCTGTGACTGCTTGCAGCGCACTTCGCAGTGCGGCAGCATACTGCTTCACGGAGAAGTCAGTGCAAGCCAAGCTTGAAGTCAGGTTCGCAGCCTGTGCAGGTCGATCTTCTCGAGTTTCAGAGCAGATGGCACAAGCCCAAAAAATCCATGTTTTCACATGATTTCTTGGTTTGTGCCATCTAGTTGGAACCTGCTGTATGTCTGACCCCATCTTATGATCCGCACCTCGTCAAAGCGACCCAGTTCGAAAAGGACCAAAGCCCCGGCCTAGAACACAAGAACCATTGAAACACAAGTCACAACTTGCTCTTGACATGCAAGATTCTGTGAAGCTCCCGGGAAGCAACGAGCATGCACCCGTATCGCAGCTACAAAACAATGGCTCTAGCATCCATTTGCGATGGGATTATCACCCAGCTGATTCTTGTAATTATATGGCTTTGACATCAAGCGTCCACGTGCTCACATTCTCAGATATATATACTAGGGTGAGATGACTTAGGCCAATTGGGTCGAAATGACATACAACTTTCCCAGGGCAAGTCCTAAGTCATGTACAAATGTTAAATTTGCAATTTCATTGGCACACACTCATGACATAGGCCTTGTTGACCTGGTCCTGAGTTTTTTTATATTTTTTTTTGGGGGGGGGGGGGGTTGGTGGGGGGCATGCTCCTGGAAGATTAGGGTGAGATGACTTAGGCCAATTGGGACGTAGGAATCCTGTCCTGTCTCATTAAGAACACATTACTATCTCATTTAAGTCTGCCTTTGTGCGTTTTTGCTCTCAAATTCCTATCTCTCGATGGTTTATTCATTGTTTAGATACCAAAGTCGTATGTCATGATGCTTGTCAATATAAAATCAACTGTTTTTAGGATCTTTGGTGACAACCTCTGGCATCTCTGATTTTGAGGTTTTTCCAAGCTTTTGCTTCATGACATAAATACTTGTGGGAGGTAGGCTAAACCTTCATGACTTAGCCGCCGCAATTTGGAGGTAGTTTTCACAAGTCCTTTGTCATTTCAGCCTAGTATAATAGTGACAACCTAAGGCCACGGCCAAGAGCAAAGGCTCGGAAAGGCCTTTGGCTGTGAACTGACGAGCAGCTTCCTCGAACTCGCCTCACGCCGTTCCACCCGCGATGAACATGCACGGTTCCTATTCGCCGCTACCATAGGACCATGGGCCTGTGTGCCACAAACAGGAGCCCAAGGAGGCATGGCATTCAGCAAGCTCGGAACCTGGCAACTAGTTGGCAACTGGGCAAAGTTGAAGTCAGAAAGGTGAAGAATGCGAAGAATGCCTGCATCTGCTGGGAAGTAAGCATCAGCCACCTGGCAAACCGACCCTTCATCAATTGCATATCAACCTATCGCCTCATCCCTACCTAAGCCTCACCCACCTCCACAGATCTCCGGAGCATCGGAAGAGCTTCCATGAACCTCACTGAGCCAGTCTGAGCTGCCAATGACCCTGAAAGGCCCCTAAATGCGGCCAAACTACCGCCCTTCAGCGAGAGCTTGTGATCCTTTTGCATAGTCTGGCAGCTGCTGCAACATGGAAAAGGGCCGCAAAGGCTGGCGCATTCGCCATGTCACTCGGGCAGAACTTCCGGAACAAATTCTGAGGGAAAACATCCCTCTTGGAATGTGCAAGCTCTTTGCTTCAACTCTTTGCTTCAAGCTGCGGATCGCGCGGCTGGCAGTAGTTCGGCACAAAAGCATTGGCGGAATGGCAGTCAAAGGATGCCACAACACAATGCTGCCCTTGCAGTCCACATCAGGAGCATCTTCTACGTCTAGGAATGTACCAATCTATATAGATCTAGGTGCATATAATGAAACCGCCGAAACCGCTAAAGTATGAGCGCAACACAGGTGAACTCGATAGATTCACAAGTAATCTGCCGTTGCTTTGGTCAACTCAGCACGTGGATGTTCATGTTCAAATATATTGAAGTGGCTGTTGGCGATGCTTCACCTCACCATGCCATCTGTGAGACACAGTTGCACACAGCACTTCTCCTTGCACAATGTGCTCAGTGTCCCTTTTCTATCACCCTGTCGGAGCAACACCGCAAGTCTCCTGCACAGGACGGCCGCTAACGGACCAGGCAAGAGCTTGCAATGGCTCCCTACATGGCCATTCAAGGGTCCCATGCAAACCCACTGCTATAAGCAACAGCAGACTTGACTAGACTACACTAAAACCTGTGGATCCTTGGGCCTTTGGGGAGCCACGTCTCCAGTTGCTAGGTGCAGCTCACCAAGTTACAGCTTGCCGTGTCGCCTCCAAGAGCTTGTGCCAGGGTCGAAGGTCTGCGGGAGGGTAGGGTTGCATTTGCATCTGGCGCCAGTGGCCAAAAGAACATCTACAACAGCCAAATCCAACCAACAACTCCATGTGCCTCAACCCATGGTTCTCGCAGTTTGTTCCCTCCCCATCTAGGACCAACACAAGCAAGTCAAAAAGTGCGCTTGGGCATTTACTGGATATGACTGGATTGACTGGATTGAGGATCTTAGTGAGCAAACCCTACAAGACACGGCAAAACTGATTGCTCAAACTCATGATTCATGATGTTGGTGTGACAAAAAGCCCCTCCACCTTACCTTGGCTGCCTCGGCGAGCGCCGCCGGCAGTTGGTGTGGCTCGGCGGCCATGGCCTCAGAGCCGCTCGGTGATCTCAGTGGCCATGACCCAGTCTAACAGCCGTTGTGAGGGGATGTTCAACGGAAAAGCGACGACGACGACGACTACTACTACCACTACGACTACTACTAGCACTAGTACAAACATTTACCACTACTGGTACAAGTATTTGTTGGCTGGTTGTTTTGGGGGGATCAAAAACAACAACGGGGGTGCAGTTTTTGTTTCCACCCTCTTGACTCTTGTAGAGACAAAGCAAGGTATGTTGTAACGGGGGTGCAGCTTTTGTTTGTACCTTGTTGTTGTTGTTGTTGCTGCTGCTGTTGTTGTTGCTGCTGTTGTTGTTGTTGTTGTTGCGCAGCTAGGTCCAAGACCTTCAGGACCTGAGCCCTGTGAGAAACTCCTACTAGCCTGAAGCTCTTGTAAAAGAAAGCGCTAACGCAAAAAGAGAAGGCCGCCCACTATGTCACAAGGCTCCAGCACAAAAGCCTCGTCGATACATTGCCTGGAAAAGGCCACTTCACATGCTCCGGTACAAATGTGGTGCCAGAAGTGAAGACTCAAGAGGTGCAACGGCAGTGAGAACACAGCCGGACATGGCTCAAACTGTTTCCCTGCAAATGATTAAACAACTCTCCTCTGCCAACTCGAGCTGGTGGTTGTCCATGAGTGAGGGGTTCACAACAACCAGTAGCCGCCTGTCCACGCGGGCAATTCTCAAGTGGAGAACGCAACATATATCCTAAGTCGCCACAGTCGCCTGTTCTGTCTGAGTGCTTCGATGATTGAGCCAGCACCCGCGTGAGAGACCACGAGGGATGCACTGGACATCTGCCAAATGGTTTCGTCCACTGTGTCCAATTGGCTAAAGAAATTGCAAAGCCCCAAAGCCCTTGCCTCATCTTCAAGACTAGGCTTCAAATCAAAGGACCTTCATTGAAAGGATCACCAAATTTCACCGATTGAAATTTGTTCCCACATGTTCTCACCATGTTCTCAGGAATTTCATGGGCTGCCGTGAGCAGCATTTGAATCATTGCCTTGGTATCCAGCTCAACCTCCAGGATGGGTGGCTCTCGGTCACACATCCTGTGGCTTCCTCGGCCGTACTGGACCACCAAGCGGGTGTAGCCCAGCTCTTTCGCCTCCAACACTCCAAACCGCATTTGGCACATGCACCCCCCCAACAACAAAAAACACAGACACACACAAGCAAAACCGAAACTGTACCAAATGAGATGCCCTGTCCCATTTCATATCCTGTGTGGTGGCATGTGCCCTGGTCAATCTGAGTATCTCAATTAGTTGGCCCAACTGGACACTGCATCTACACCCACCTGCTTCTGAAAGGATTCACTGTCCACTTCTTTGATCAAGTCATCAAAGGATGTGGTCCCTACCGTGACCTCCGCATCCAAGCAGCACAGAACCTCTTTGGACAAGCTAGCAGTGTAGTTAAGTAGTAGCATCAAGAAAATGAATATGAAAGCGGACCATCGAAGCATCTCAGAGCTGGGGCCACCGCAAAGATCATGAGAACATCACTATTTCTTTCTCTTTTCTATCTCTGTCTCTGTGAGAAACAGGGCTACAAATATCGAATGCAGCTTGCTAAAGGACATCAATCTGAAGGTGTTGGTGTGTCTGTGATGCTTGGACACTTCTCATGAGCCTGCAAGTGCTTGAAATCAGGCAGCCAACGGTGGAGGAGGCACTGAATGTGCTTACAAATGCTCTGTCTTACCGTAATCGTTGCCCTGCCAAGACCTTTTCACCGCCGCTGATGTTCTGCAGCAGCCCTCAACGCCCTCAACGCCTGAGGAAAATCAAGCGAAGGCGTGACCATCGCACTGGCTGCGCCTGACAGGCTATACAAGTCATATGGTTTAGTGCTTGCACAGAACTATAAATCCTGTATAAGCTACATATACAATATAATATAATATAATATATATATATATATTCTTAGTCTATGTGGGCCCATATCTTTCTGAGCAATGCGCCACCAGGAAATCGATACACCAATCAACAGTGCAAAGGCCTAGCAGCACAGGCTCTCTGCCTTCGAAACAAGTTCCATCACCTTCTCCACACATTGACCCTGCAGCTCCTTCTAACTTGGGCCAACCTTGTGCCAGCAAAAATGAAACTTTCTTGCTATGAATGTATGCATCTGTCCTTGCGGCGAATGGGCACACCTGCCTTGCGTCGCTGAACGCTAACCTGAACAGGTTCGGAGAGCGCGCCTGCTCCAAACCTATCTGGGCCTTAGCTAATCTGCCTCCCAACACCACACGTTTACTCAGCCATTCTATACTGTCTCTGTTGAAAACAGTACAGTCAAAGTCGCCGCGAAATGCACACGACTTCCCACCTGGGTTTGCTCTGATCGGGCCATAAAGCCACGCAACGCTCGACCCCTCTCCTCGCACATCAGAGATCTGAGCTTTATATGCAGATGGACGATCACCCACGGTCTGCACCAAAAAAGACTGAAACACAACCTGAAGACATCTGACAGCGGGATCATCCCAGAATTGGTTTAAGTGGAAATCTACGAGAAGCAATGGTGTTCACTCCCTAAACTATTCGTTTCCTGTAGGTCTTCCCTAAAACCCATTCTGGGAGACAAAGAATATCCAAGAAAAGTATATAGCTACAGTTATAGTATCTTGCAATTACAGAAAAACTATAGTATGGGTGGAGCTTTCAATCATCCTGTGCTGTTCCAGGAGGGCAGCGCCAGAAATGCAAGACTCGGTCTTGCAAAGCTGGCTGTGCGAGCAAAAGCCTCAGGGTCGACCAGTTCGTAGCAAAAGTTCGTAGACCACCCGGCTGAAGTGATTGGGTCGTACACGGAATCCATGGCCTGCAGCCTTTACAGCTCAACGCTGAGGTTACCCTTGGGGGCCAAAATCCTTCAAGCTACCTTTGGCGCTTCAAATGCAAGCTGCCCATGGATGTTGCAGGTACTCACTAATCTCCGAGCCCAAACCAGTCGAGATGCAAATTGCAATCTGGGATGGTGAGCTCGCTGCGTCGCCAGAACTGTTCAGCCGCCTGCACCTCGAGAGGCTCGCCGTGGATCCCAGAAATTTGCCCAAAACAAACTGAGTCGAAAACACCTCCAGCCATCAAATGTGCTACCGGTTACCCCTGGAAAACAGGCTCTGAGAGAGCTGCCACGTTGTAGTTCCCCTCATCCACGAAGTCCTCATAGGAGGCGATCTCGGCAGCTGCTTCCATGAGATCACATCTCCTCCAGGCAATCACATTTGCAAACAGAATGGCAAACCAAGTGCCTTAATTCAATTGAAGGAGAATGCCTAGGCTCTAGGGCTCCGCTTAGGAGTCCTGACAGCGGACTCTGCAGCAGCGAAGACCTGGCCCACCGCGGGTGAGTGAAGACTCGCAACACCCCAAACTTCAGGCCTCGTCCCACATCGTTCTGTGCTGCGCGGCTTTCGCCAAGAAACATAAATGCTTGTTAAAATGGCCTGCCGCGAAGGACGTCGGTGCTGCCCACGTCCAATGCTGAATCAATATGAATCATCTGAGGGTGCGGCGCTGCGCTTCGTACAGAAGAAGCTGCCCCAACTTGAGTTCCACCTGGGCAGTGCAAATTGACCAACACACTCTGCAAAGGACTCCAGCTCTCGCCTCCGCCAACCTCTTCTGAGGGCCTTTGGGCGGCAGCAGTGACTCCCAGCGCACTGAAAACCAGCGAGAGAAGCGGCGCTGCGCGCTGTCGATCACGTCCTTCATGCGGCACAGTTCAAAGGTCACGAAGGTGGTCCAGAAGGTCCTCATCCTCTACCTTTTGCCACTTCAGGGTTTGCCCATTCCTGCAAAGGACGTCACAAGGTGCAAGGTGGGTGTGTAAACATCCCGTACGCATCACTAAGTAAAGGGTTGGGTTATAGTCAGTTGTGCCCTTCTATATACATCGCTTTGCAGGGTCTTGACTATGCGCAACAGCTCCAAATTGCTTTGCACACTCTTGGCAACATGACTGTCATGCTGACTGCACAGTGGACAGGCGATCACAACAGAACAGGTTGTCTTTTGTGTGATCTTTTTTAGCATTCTGAGGACCCTGATTCCGATGCACCCTCAAAGAGCAAAACAATGGAAATGAGTGAACATATCACGTTGTCGTTTGTTGACTCTTATCATCTTCTGTGGGTTTCAGAGCAACTCTAACCCTAGGAACCTGCCCTACCTAAAGACCTGTAGGACGAGGGATTTCTATACAATCTCACATTCTGCCCATTCTTCCGGTCCTGCGCCACCAATGGAGCTCTTTGGAACCAAGGGTGCGCATATCCAAGTAAAGCCGGTGTCGGCCCCAAACAACCTTGGAAATTGGAAACCAGTCACCACCCCATATGCTTCCGATGTGTTGGATACCGGGCCAGCTCCGGCAGAGCCGGTGGGCAAAGTCTCAAATATGCAAAACTAAGTACAAGAGCGAAATGTTGACTGCTGTGCCACATGTCATCGTTTGTGATGCGGTGGTCCGCACATTTGGGATGCAATGATCTCCGTGATGGTGATCTCCGTGACCTGCTTACATATAGCCTGCTAAGGTCTAATTCAGTGAAGTGTAGACCTACGGTGATGTGCTTTTCGGTGATGTGCTTCGACTCTTCCGTTACTTTTCGGCGACCTTTCCGTACCGTGCTCTATATTAAAAGAAACTCTGCCTTTCATTCTCTTGCAAGCTCCGACGTTTCCGCACATGTCCTTCTCTTGCGCTTCGCTAGAAATCTCTACTTTCCCTTGCTTTTCTCTAGAAATCTCTACTTCACCCAGCCCTGACTGTCAGTGGGTTACGCAACCAGCATAGGCTTGACACAGCCCTGCTAAGGCATTATTCTCCACACAACTGCGCATCCGACTCACAAACCGCACACAATCACAACACGATGCCCTCCAACCTACTAGCGTAGCAATGGCCTCTAGCCACAGAATGCCCCATCCTAGGCCCTATTTGAGCCCAGAGATGGGCTTATGGATATCAGCTCTTTGGTGTGCCCAAGCTGGTACGACCCTCTTCTTACTGATTTCAAAAATGTTACTATGAGTTTACACGTTTTGATTGGAACAATTATTCTTGCTAAGTTTCACGACCTAAGGGTTTGTAAGGGAATTTATTTTGCGCAAAAGTTTATAAATTTGAAGCTTGTGATTTCAATATTGTTGGTGCCCCTCTCCCCCTCTCCCTCTTTCCCTCCTTGTCTCTCCCTCTCCCTCCCACCCTCCCCACTCCATCTCCAGCGCGAATCCACATGCAAACATCCTCCTATATACTAAGTTTTCGTAACTTGCCTTCTTGGACATCTACAATGTATGTGTATATACTGTATGTGTGCAACACCCGGAGCCCATGTGTTCCCTACTTTAATCGGAACAGTCTGTGTGAGTGATTGTAAGGGTCACTCAGGTTCCAGGTACCACAACGTGTGTGATGATTGTGTGCGTTTGCGTGGCATAGGGAAACTTTAGAATGACTGGACTGATCTGGAATGCCTGTTTTGTGGGCACCTATTGACTATCATCTGACAACAGCTGGGCAGCCGCGCTTTGCCCTTCTTGTCCAGCCACAGCGTTGCCTGCCAAGGCTGGCACAGTGTACCAATGTTCAATAACATGTTAGCTTCCGCATTTGAAAAGCACCCACCATATGGAGAGATCGAAGGGCACCTGACTGCTCTGTGGGCGCAAGCTACTCTGCACCTTCAGGGTGTGAGCGTCATTGGCCTCCAAACAATTGGAGCCGTCGGGAGTGGCAAACCGGTGGAGGAGTCCAGTTTTGCTTTAAATTGAGTTTGTGTTGATCTTCAACGAGATCCCAGGCCTGCCGCACAGTGAGCAATTGCCCCTCGCCCTGGCCAGCTGGTCAGGGTTGGAAGTGGTGGGAGCAGCGCCCGTGAAATTCCATTATATAAAGTATATATACAGTATATAAATAGCCGTGCGCAGGGCCATGAGTCGGGTGAAAAAGGCTGTTCAATCCTTGAGGGTACAAAAGTGTGTACGGAGGTTCCTCTCGTGACAGAACCGATGTAAGTTGCGAGCCTGCCAATGGCCGACCAGATTCTGAGCCTGAGCAACGTGGTGATTGCAGAGTAGTTGAGCAAGCTTCACATTATGGGTTCCAGGCCACATTTGCCCAGTGTTCCTGCCGCTTTTCTTCAGCCTCCCAAACTCCATCAAACTCCGATACCACAAAGGATTCTCAAGATCCAAAGTGATCCGAAGTATAGTTTCGGGGAGTTTTACTAAACACGCCCACATGAGGATTGTCGAAGCAGTTCCTCCCACAGTCCGAAACCACTTCGCACCTTCCGTGCATCCTCCTCTTGGAGCGCTTCCATCTCTTTCTGGAATGCCATCAGGAACTCAGGTCGTTTGGTCTCGCGTTCAGAAGTCCATATTCTCCACAAATGGATTGACAATGCCCTCTTTGCCAAAAGTTCTTGAGATTCAGATTGCCCCCATGATCCCCCATGTTTCCAACTGAGGTGCTTCGGCTCTGTGCTCTTCTGGGAAAGCTTCTTCATCGCGTGGCCATCTGGCAGAACGAGCCCTTCATGTCTGGGCCGGACTTAGAGTACATTCAGAAACTGCGTTCTCCTTCACTAGTTGTGGTCTGCACATCCCGAAGTTTTGATCAGCTTCTTGTCAGGGCAAGCCATTGCACCTGGGTGCTGCCAGCGGCGCACGGTGAGCCATGTTGGGCTCTGCCAGCAAGACGGGCACCGCCTTCGATGGAGAGCATCTACCAACAGTTTCATGGAGACATAACTTAGGTATGGGCATGGCATGTATGTGCATATGTATTATATATATATACATTATACATACACATTATATGACCGTACTGTACACCAAGGATACTATTATTGTTATACTATATATGTATATATACAAAGACCTGTCCCCCTTACATCCTGCCTTGGTCCTATATGCACAAAGTCAACCTAACATTTTCAGCACAGCGTCCATATGCCAAAATGCCTCCACAGACGGTGTATCAAAGACTTGGGAACCTTGTGGGGGACACGGTGAACGCCTCTGCTCGTTGTAAAGCGGCAGCCACTGCACGCCGGTCGGGCAGGACGAAGCTGGGCAGTGTGGAGGAGTCAACTGTAGAGGTTGAAGTCCTCACCGGAGGTTGAAGTGGCGGGGGTCACATGAGCTACAGGCAAAACGGCAAACCCTACCTGCAGTGGGTTCAGTAGATTGAAGACCGGCAACGGCTAGAACACCAAACCGCCCAGCCCGCTTGTCCTGGGAATAGTTGTTGAATCCCAGCTCCCTCGCAAATCCACCGAATCAGCAAGCAAGGGGCGGTCAAAGGACAGCCTTACTTCGCAATTTGCAAGAGACTTGAGAGAGGAAGGCGGTGAACGAAAGGTACCGCAGCACTGCGTGTGGAGAGAAACCCCCTACCTAGCTTAAAACCATTGATATTACGTGAAGGGTTGTATGGGAGAAACGAACTTGTGTGTTTGGATCAGCCAAGTTTGTAGCCACTTTGAAGCTTACATAGCTTAAAACCATCGATATTTACAGGGCTTTGTGCCGGGAAGGCGCACAAAACCGTGTAAATACCATAGTTTTGTGCAATTTTGAAGCCTCCAAAAGCCTCAAAAACCCTTTCCGACAAAATCTTTCCTGGTTTTTTGGTCATTTTTCGGTCATGCTTCAAACCGAGACGCATCAAAAACCATCGGTTTTTACAGTGTTTTTTGCTGGACAGCGACCCTCCTCGTCCAAACAAGTCGGGGGCGGGCTGCACAGTCACTCTCATTGGGTAACTGCCGGTCCACTTGCAGGTCCCGTGGGAAACTCTAGAGAAGCAGTGTTAGTATGTGCTTTGTGGTGCGTCGAGTCTCATTCAGTAAGCAACTGCCACCTGACAGGAGCAGGTTTTGTTTGGTGCCCCCTTTCCATCACTTCTTTGGCTTGGTTTTTCCAGCGGTTGCTGTGCCGCAGCAGCAGCAGACCACCCAGCGGCAGCAGCAGCAGCATACCAACCAGCGCCGCAGCAGCAGCAGAGCACCACCCAGCAGCAGCAGCAGCAGCAGACCACCCAGCGCCGCAGCAGCAGCAGCAGACCACCCAGCGCCAGCAGCAGCAGCAGCAGCAGCAGATCACCCAGCGCCAGCACCAGCAGCGGCAGCCCACCCAGCGCAGCAGCAGCAGCAGCAGCACCAGCAGACCTCCCAGTAGCAGCAGCAGCAGACTGCCCAGCAGCAGCAGCAGACCCCCCAGCAGCAGCAGCACAAGACTCAAATGACACCGCCTGACTCCACGCCGTAACTAGTCGCGTACGCGAGGTCGGGCTATGATGCAAGAAATGCCGCCTGCACATAGCACCCAAAAAGGTAACTGTCCAATGTAGCTCCTGCTGCTGCTGGGTGGTCTGCCTTGGCTGCGTCTCCTGCTGCTGCTGCTGCAGCCGCTGCTGCTGCTGTGTTTGCTGCTGCTGCTGCTGCTGCTGTGTTTGCTGCTGCTGCTGCTGTGTTTGCTGCTGCTGCTGCTGTGTTTGCTGCTGCTGCTGCTTGCTGCTGCTGCGTTTGCTGCTGCTGCTGCTGC